ATAACCCTTACTCCTACTTGCACACTGCATTCGATCAGTATTTACAGCTAAGGAATGAAACACAAACTGGTTTCAGACATACCTCTGTTGCGCAAGATATTTAGATTTTTATCTCAAATCATAATGTGTACTAAAAAAAATAGCAACGCGCACCAAGGCAGCCTGTGCGATCAAGTGTTTTATGTAGTGCCACTCAGCGGATTATTGCCTGCTAAGGACTTTCACTGCTATGCGCTTGGATCCATGTAAAAATAGTTGAAAAGTTTTTTGGTTCCTAAGCTGTAGAACTTCCCACTAAAAATTTCATGCATTGGTATATGAAAGCTAAATGTGAAACTTCGAAGGGTGAATATTCTTCCAAAATTTCAACTTCTTAATTTTCTGGCTTTCGAGTGTTTTTTTTGCAACAAAATTTTTAGACAGTTGCAAATGAGACCTCGGCATACTTAAGAATTGAGTTCGAGTTTGCGAAGCCCCTGCTTAGGCAGGAAACATCCTCCTGAACTTTTCAGCCACCTAGCTCTTCTAGCTCCTGAGATAATGGTTTTTTTTTGGCAAAAACTTTCAAGGAGGCGTTGAGAATCTGTTGAGAATTTGCGGAGTCACACGTGGGCGAAGTACATTGCCCTAAATTTTCAGCTTCACAGCTCTTGTGGTTCCCTAGGTGAAAGTTGCGAACAAGATTCATCGAGCATACACACAAACAGCCCCGTGACAATATTTGTTTTGTGCAGCTGTTGCACAGCACAAAACGTAAAAAAGAGTGTTGTACTCACTACTAAAATTATTTTAAATAATAATAAAGCGGATATTCTTCATGTACGTTCTCGATTTAAAATTTTTGAATGATAATGAAATTAGACTGGCAAGTCGATAATTTACTTCATCACGGTCTAGAGGTAGCAAAGTCAGAACAAGACGGTGATATTCAACACATCCCATCGACATCTAGAAACGATTAAACCGTTGCTAGGTGCTTCCACTGAGCGAACCGTTGAGCTGGTGGTTCTTTCACGAACGTGAGAATTGCAAGTAAGCTGACCAATTGACGATGCAGTACTGGTTAAAGCAATTGCATCAGTTACCATCTGTGTAGCATGGATGATCGGGCTAGGAATTACAGCCAATTTCAAGTATTCTTAGTAAGTAAGGAGCGAAAATACGTGAAAAGAGGACTTCGGTGACAGAATTTTGCCAGTAGCAACTGCGCGTTGATGAAGCTTCCCGTAGCTCCTACTAACATTTCAAACTTTTGCTTGTGAAACGTATTCACAGAAAACGTATGATCTACAGAATTTTACAGAAATTTACAGAATTTACACAAAACGTATGATGTTTCACAGATGTTTTACACTTAGCTACTCACTAGGATGTTTTCTAGATCCAAGATTTTTGGTGAGATTTCAGAATGAGTATTCGTATGAGAACTGCTCATGATTTGTACTGATTTCCTGTGCATCATTTTTATAGTGAATTTAGGGCTTTATAGGATGCGTCGCCTGAATCCGATTTATTCATGTGACATTACAACTCACTTTCTTATAGAATTTATCCCACTTTATCTACTTATTTTATCAACATCACAAGCGTCATGCTAAAGAGGTGACCAGCTGTGGTGTTAAACTGGATGTATACGACTTAATGAGCTAAAACATTCATTTGATTTTTTAATGTGATTTTTTATTTATATGCCTGAGTCCAGTTTATCTATAAAAAGATATTTTTGTAATAATATCTTTTGCTGTGGATAAAGTGGATCCAGGCCTACTCAAAAGAGTTGCAGGTTTCAAATTTAGTCAAAAAAATTTATTTCTTTAATAAAAAAATTTATATTTTTTAAATGGACGACAGTGAATCACTTTCCGTTCATAAATCAATAGGCCTATTATTTTT